CCCCAAAACCCCAAAACCCCAAAACCCCAAAACCCCAAAACCCCAAAACCCCAAAACCCCGAATTTATAACTGTTCGTTGAAAAATTAAATATGCCTAAGAGAATCAAGCTCCGGCCAAGGAAAATATGTACTAATTATTTTATGCATGGCACTATCTGTATTATGCTCTTTGAATATACAGCGCTCATAATGGCCAAAGTTTATTATAAAACTAATGGAAACCTTATTGCACTCGGAGGAATTCATTTCTTATTTGGAATGATCTGTTGGAGCTTTATTCAAACTGTATTCACTGATCCTGGAGAAGTCCCTGCCTTCTGGGGCTTTAGGAAGGGTGATCCTGTGAGTAGAAGGAAAAGATACTGACTCATTTGTAATGTATTCAAACCTGAGCGTTGCCATCACTGTAGTACATGTAATAGATGAGTGTTGAATATGGACCATCACTGACCATGGATTAGTAATTGAATTGGATTTTGGAACAGAAAGTATTTTATCCTCCTTCTATTCTATGTGATTCTCGGCATGTATTCATATGTCGTTTATATGGCAAACGATGTATTCTTTGTGGGGAAAGACATTTATTTATTTATAAGCAGCCAGAAGGACTCAATAGATCTCAGCAAGACGTTAATAATAATACTCTCTTTCTTATTATCCCTTTGAATTTGATTCATAATGACAACTTTCTTTAAGTTTCATTTAATGTTGATCATGGAGAATAAGACCACTATAGAATGAATAGCAAAGGAGCATAAGCCATTTAACTCAGTGTATGACATTTCTCTTCAGCATAACATACAGCAAGTGTTTGGTAAATAATGTGTGGTTGTATCTTCTTCCTATCAGTACAAAAAGCTCAAGACCCACTAGGAATGGAATTTTATGGGTTACTAATATTAATAGAGAAGCTGATCAGTCTAAGGATATCAAGGAATATGAAAACCCTGTTTCATCATCAGTAAAAGAAGAAGTTACAAAATATAAAACTCCAGAAAAGAGTAAAGTTGATGATACCCTTACAATGCATACAACTGACATGATGTCCATACTTAAGAGTAGTGTGATAAAGCCAAGGAGCGATGTTAATACAAGCTCTCAGGTGCTACACCCTAAGACTTTGAAAAGAAGAAGTGATTTGTAGGCCTAATTAATTTCTATTTTCATTAAACTAAAAATTAATCGGGGTTTTGGGGTTTTGGGGTTTTGGGGTTTTGGGG